TCTAAGTAAGGATTAATCGAAAGAAGTCAGTATGAAATAACGCTACCCAAATTCATTTTTTGCTTTCCCTTTCAAATGGAAGTGCCTTATAGTGTAAATACTAACAGACAGTGATGGTAATGCATAGAAGGGTGATTTGCAGCTAGAACAGGAAGTCAGTGATGTGGAGTTTGTTCCCGAGGAACTAGCGTTTTTAAACCAGTCAAATGATGTTTTTTATGAATGTCCGTGTTACCCAAAGAGGGATTTATCCGTTCAGCACGACGATGTCGATCTCGATAAGGAAGACATTTATATTCCAGACGATGCAGATGACGCATCGCTATTGAACGTTTTAAACGATTCTGATAATTGGAAAGAGAAACTATCGCAGTCCAGAAGAGCTTTAGATCAAATGAAGAATGGAAAAGATGAATTGTCGAAATATAAGCGGAGTGTGGCTAGAGTTCGATTTTTATGTAGAAATTTGGCGAATGAAGCAAAAGATAATCGGACTTGAGAGTGAGATTGCTGTGCAGAAGAACCAGGTTGATCTTACCACGCAGCAGATGAACGAAATCAAAGAGGAAAAGGAGAAGTGCATCGCCGAACGAGAAGAGAGCGAGAAGGCAACTCTGCAGCTCGAGAACACGATCGTCTCGCTGAAGTCCATTATCTCCACAAAGAACCGCGATATTGCTAGTTTGGAACGACGATTAGCGGAAGCCAATCGCCATCTTACATTGACCACCTCTGAAATCCACGTACTTCAGGAACCAAAGCAAAACGAGGAGGATGAGCAAGAGGAAGAGGGGTCGCAGGAAGCGCAGGAAGCGCAGGAAGCGCAATCGCAGGAGCCATCGGAATCGACGTTGGAAGAACTCACAACGTTGCGAAATCGTGTTGTAGAATTGGAGGAAAAGCTGGCACAGCATGAAAGCAGCGTTGAACAGGACGAAGAGTCGCGATTGGAATCTCTTGAGAGTTTTGTCGGTTTAGTTCGAACCATCGCATATGTGAAGAGTAAGGAGGAAGGAAAGCAAATATGTAAGACTTTTCTTGTTGTTTTATGCGAAAGTGAGGATGAATGGCGGGAAGTGTTTTCATTGCGGGCGAGATTTATCGGAATGTCTGGACAGCGAGGGGGACTCGGGGTGCAACTACTGCTCTATTTTGAATAATCTAATCAAGGAAGAAGCGTCGATTGTTGTGAATTCAAAGCCTGATCCTTTTGCCTTTGTGTTGTTTTTCTTTATCTCTGTGACTATTTTACTGGCTATCTTTGTATATAACTGGAGAGATGAGGCTTTAATTGTGCTTCAGTCACTCAAGGATAAAATCACTTCTTCTCATTAGTAAATTGTCTTGTTTGTTTGGAAATCGCAAGAAGTGAATGAATGTCTTCGCTTTCTGTAGGAATCTTGCTGAAAGCTGTGAAATAGGATTCGGACTACAGATGTGTTGTGGGTGAGAGTTACTATAAGGTAATCATGAAACTCAAAGATAAAGAAATAGAAATTCCTCCTCTAGGTAGTTCTTGGCCAAGTAGAGTGAAACGTAGAAATTAAATTAACAGAATGGTATAAAAAGCAGATACAAAGTGCGGAAAATGGATTTCCAAACTGTAGGAGGTGGGGGTTGATTTTGATCTAGCATTTGACCAAGTATTGCGTCTCCAAGAGGAGGCGAGTCTTCCTCGGTCTCTCACCATGGAGCAAGTCCCATCTCCTCCAAATTGTGGTGTTTGTGATAATAATCAGACTATTTGACTCAAATTGGATGTAGAAAGGAGTTTATGCTAAGAATTGATTGAACAAATAAACAAATGAATCGAAGGAATGAATGTAACAGGTGTGCCAAGCGAGAATTTGAATAATGTATACTTTATAATAGGCAGCACATTCACATCGATTTTTGTTCGTATCCTCATTATAGAATCAAAGTCGACTATCTAGAAAAGTACTTTCTATGATATTTTTTTTCTCAATTTGATTGTGACTTCCATAATAATATACTATTCACATATATCATGTTTTTCTATCGATTGTTATATGTATATATACTTCATTTTTGTGTTTAGGTACAATAAAGAAATATGTTTGGTATTCTCACTCCTTAAGTATTCCATTTTTAACAACCATATCATTTACATGAAAATAAGTAAAATCATGTGCTATACACAAATACAAGAACAAAATATCACATTCCATTATTTAACTTCTTTAAATATCAACAATAAGATAAAACCATTAAAACACCACACTGCAATCACTTAATCATCTCAATTCAATCTTTCACAATCTGAAGAGTTGCCAAATATAAGACATCATTATTGAAAACATTTACTATACTCGATTGCCTCCATTTGGCTTTTTCATTATTCATATATTCTTAATTTTGATTCTTATCATCGATTATACATAAGATTTAAATATAGGATTTCTACCAATTTGAATCGCTATAATGGAAAAGAGTGAATTGATGACTGGATTCTAAATCAATGGCCACAGAATGGTGGTAAGGGGTGTGGGACAAACAAAGTGGGTAGTGCATATTCAATGATCATTGAATGGATTAAAATGAAGTGTGTAGATCCAATGCTGAAACTACCTTCTCTTGATTTAGTCAACAAGATCAGCGAGAATGGAAGAAACATCTATGAATCAAATCCAATCAATCAAACTATACTCAAAATTGATTTCGATTGAACTTTCTGGAATGAACCAGGTAGCTCGACATTTTGAAGATTCGGAATATCTAAATACTATCAATATTCAATATGCAGAAATACTTGCCAATGTCACTACATGAGGATATTGGAAACTACCATAAACAGAAGTTATTGATGTTAGATTTGGAAGATCTACAAAACAAATCATAACCAATCAATTCATTATTACTTCGCATTGTCAATGAACATGATTCATCAACCCTCTTTCCTTCAAGTGCACTTCTACCGAGTTGAATGGATTGTAATGATGGAAGATCTACATCAATCATTTCATTCAAATTCATTCAATACTTTCAATTATTGTTGATATGGATTCACGAAATGCATAATTGCCTAATGTAATGGATTGTAGATTTGGAAGATCTATGCATCATTCAAATATTCAATATCATATCAATACCTCGAACCAAAAATGAATTAGCATGGAAATTATATGATTCACTTCCAATTTTACCAATCTGAATGGATTGTAATTGTGGTAGATTCTTCAATTCAAAGTCGCCTCCAAAATCACTGAAACTGAATTGACCAATTTGAATGGATTCCAATGATTCACAATTCAATATGTGGAATGATTTCGATTTATCATTTGCATCATAACTTTTTTCGGGAATGAATGAATAGTATCCGATTTTGATAGTTTTCAATCGATTCAATCCATCGATTTGGAATGTTTTTACTGATACAAAACAAGCGTAACCGATTTCGATTGATTCAACGAGAGTAAATCGCGAGAAATCAAAAACTGTGTATTCTTTGTCCCTACAAGCCCAACTAGGAATGAAAATAGAATTGACAGATGAATTTAACGATTGAATATAGAGTTGACAATCGATAAACGCAGTTAGTACACCGCAATCATCTAATGTCAATAAGAAACATGAAAGATACTTTTATAATCACTATTATTTACATAAACAAATGAACCAGGTAGACTGACATTTTGAAGATTTGGAGTATCTAAATACTATCAATATTCAATATGCAGAAATACTTGCCAATGTCACTACACGAGGATAATAAAAACTATATCCGTCAGAAGTTATTGATGTTAGATTTGGAAGATCTACAAAAAATCATAACCAATCAATTCATTATTACTTCGCATTGTCAATGAACAAGAATCATCCCATGGATTTCCAGCAAGTGCAGATTCACCGAGTTGAATGGATTGTAATGATGGAAGATCTACATCATTTCATTCAAACTCATTCAATACTCTCAATTATTGTTGATAAGGAATACTGGAATGCATATTCACCTAATGTAATGGATTGTAGAATTGGAAGATCTATGCATTATCCAAATATTCAATATCATATCAATACCTCCAATCTCAAAGGAACCATCACGAAATGTACTATCACCTAATGTAATAGATCGTAGATTTGGAAGATCTATGCATTTAATCATTTTCATTATCATATTAATACCTCCAATCACAAAGAAACCATCACGAAATGCCCAATCACCTATTGTAACGGATTGTAGATTTGGAAGATCTATGCATTTAATCATTTTCATTATCATATTAATACCTCCAATCTCAAAGATACTAAAATAAAAATTCTTTGATAAACTTCCAATTGTACCAATTTGAATGGATTGTAGTTGTGCACAATTCTTCAATTCAAAGTCGCCAGCATAATCACTGAAACTATATCTGTCTATTTCAATGGATTCCAATGATTCACAATTCAATATGTGGAATGATTTCGATTCATCATAATTATTTCCCCAAACATTCCTTTTCTGAGTAAATGAATCACTTCCGATTTTGATAGTTTTCAATCGATTCAATCCATCAATCCTGAATGTTTTCACGTTTACAAAGCAAAAATCGCCAATTTCAATTCTCTTTAAATAAGGATAATTAGACAATTCAAATTTCGTTACATACTTTCCAGATCCAAATTGTACTATGTATGATTCTTGTTTGGATCTGATTCCATGTGGTCCATTGTTCGGATAGATTGCTGTGAAATAGATAAAGAAAAGAATGATTATAATTACAGCTACAATCATTGATATATATCTATTCTCCAGTAGTGTTCCATACAATCTTGCTGTCTTCAATTTAGAAAAAACGTCTTTCCTTACCTTTGTATTATCATCCTTTCCAAATTCTTCTCTTTTATCTTTTCGTGGATAACCCATTTCCAAACTATCAACAAATCCTCCTTCATACACTTTCTTACCATTCTTATATTCTATCAAACTATTATCATGGAACTGTTTCAATAATGTATCTTCTTTACCTTCTTTCCATACACTCACACGACTAATCTTTTCATCTTCATAAGAATAACAAAACCCTTCACTATTTCCAAACTCATCTTTCTGACTAATTCGAATGATTCTTCCTTTTTCATCCAACTCTTTCCAATATCCCTTTCCCATTTCATTCGATGGAACTATATTCAGTTTCTTACCTTTCTTATAATATCCATCAAATACCACGTTGCCATTTTCATCATATTCTTGTCCTCTTCCTTCTCGATATCCGTTTACAAAGTAACCTTTGTAAAATAGAATACCATTTTTACAGAGTGTACAAGGTCCTGAAGCGATTCCATTCACAAATGTCAGAGTTGCCATCAGAGTATTATCCTGAGAATAAATACTGGATTCTCCGTCCATTTTCCCGTTTTTCATTGTTGTTTTGATAAGACAACCTTCATGAGGCTTACCAACTTCAATATGAGCTGGGCCATCTGTTTCTCTTCCTGACTTTATAGGGAACTGCTCCGAAACGTTGTATTCCCACCACTGGTCTTTTTCGTTAGTATTATCACTAGCATTGTTTATTGTTGGTAATTCGATGTTAGTAACGTGAATAGCACCCTTTGACAAATTACTCATTTACAATCGATAGATAATAGTGTGTAAAAGCCAAGGTAAAACCGAATCTACTAGATCCTTGATAATCAAATGATGACTGTCCGTTTTGTGCGTTTCATTTATATCCATTCATATTTGCCTTATCATTTGAACAATCAAAAGTCTGCATTTAGAAGTAATATGATATAGAAATAAATAAGTGTTTGTTTTCTGTATTCTTAGGGTTTGCTTCTATTCCTTTCTAAAATCTCCATAATATTCGATTTTCCAAGATGAGTACTAATAATATTAGTATATTTCATTCATTGTGATGATGCTGGCACCCTTTAAAAAGGCTTGCTTGTTATTCTAGCGAAGTTCGATATTTCACAAAGTCTCAAAGTATTTTTACAATTTCTTGAAGGGAAGTATAAGTTGACTAGACTAAATTACATGAAAATGACATATCAACTCAATTGAAAAGTGACTGGGAATTTGGTTGCTTTGGTAACAAATGGTGATTGTGAATATCAAATTGAAAATGATTTATGTTCTGTTGAATAAACACTACACAATACGCAGTCCATATTGTTGAATTGCTGTGTTTCATATTTTACAATATTGTTGTTCATTATTCTGTATTACAGTGGTAAAATTCTAATGGAATAACAAACAGTTCTAAAAGCAAGTAATACAGCGATTATATACTAATATTTGTGCATTGTTTATCCATTCATTTGGTCCTGATTTACAAGAACTTAGTCATCATTTATGAACATTCGCATTTCTTACCAATTCACCATACGATGTAAATATAATATAAATTGGTTTGATTCATGATCTGTTAAATACAAAAGACAATTGCTTTTACTTGTAATATCTTGACAGATTTGATCATATCATAGTCGCTTGCAATATATATATATATATATATATATATATACATATATATATGTATATATGTTCATTCGACAAGTAATGATAGAGAGATATCAAAATGTGGTTAGTATGTCCATATTTACAGATTGTATTGCATATTTTATCACTGCAATACATGGAATAAAAACAACTCATTCGTATTTATTAAGAATTCGATTGAATACCATTGGGAATTATTCTAATTAACTATTCATTAATTCAGTCCATTCATCATTCTCTACTCCATTCAATAGCTGACTATTAATCGATTATAATAGCATGGATTCATCCTTTTGATAATAATTGAATCAATTCGCAATTGCTTCTTTTTAATGGTTGTAGTTATGACTAATATAAGTTTACAATAATACTGTGATATATTCATAAATTGTACTATTCTCTGATGTTCATTCTTCAAGCCTATATTCATACTGATAACAGAATGACATCTTCAATGAATTGTGCATTTCAAAGACACGAATTGATCAATATACTAATCGATAAACAGATAAATAGTTTTTATAGCTGATTTCTATGCATATTAAAATGACTTCTACATTATCACAGAATTTAAATGTAATGTTTATGAGTATTGAATTATAATTCAATACAAAGGTTATCCATATTATTACTTGTATTATATTGAATAGTTTCTATTTTTACAGATCGAAATGTAATACAGAAGGGCCAATCTACATTAAAAGATTGACTATTGTGTTTATTATTAGTGTATTGTTAATACGGTTGAGCATTTTTCGTAGTGCTGAGTAGTATTAATTGTTATTGATAATTTGTGAACCATTTTATAAGAGTTCATTCTTATATAACACCATTAACCTATAGAACACTGCTTGTATTCTGGATGGCTTAATCAATGGACATACCTATATTTTTCATATGAATTACGTGCATACCCTCTAAAATGATATTAAGAATAAAGAGGAATAAAAACCATGCTATTTGCAATATCTCCTAAAAATGGTTTAAAACTTATGAAAAAACAACATTCTATAAAAATGATGTCCACAAATATTGATCGGAATGATATACCTTCATTGAAACACTCAACAATGAAATACTAAGCAGACTCAAATACCGTCATAATTTATGTCTCATACCTTAATAAAGAGTCATGTATAGATCATACCTCAAGAACACCAAATGATAGAGATATTCCCATTTTTCCAACAAACAAACTACACCGATTGAACACTTGACAGTTTAGATTTCTCATTCTCTACAGTCATCCGAAAATCCTCAAACGACCGTTTCTCCTTTTCCCCGATCAACAGCGATCCCTCGACACGCTCTTTCATCTGATTCAAAATTCGCTTCGCCAAATCCGAATATCCAAATCGTAGTAAGCAATGCACATAAATCATCGCCTATTCTTAATGACTCCCTCAAATCCCACATCATTCAATACCATTCGATCATCCTCCGCGAAGAATTTCATCGAATAATCGAAACAACTCTCACAAAATGGGGTGGATGTTTCAAAATCCTTGTGTTTCAATATCAAAACAAACAAAACTCCACGCTCAACGTAGTAATCTCGACTCCGTTGACACGCCAAGTAAAACAAGTAACAATCCGAGGAATACAGTTTCTATCCTTCACCACGGTTCTTCTCGCTTACAGAGTAAATCGAACAGGCTTCTTTGTACGAATTCCCGCGTTCTAATAGAATGCTATTGCTCATTGATCCCGCAATATCAAACTCGAACTCGATCATGCGCGTATCCAACGCTGGAACACCATCGATGAGCCGTAGAATCGCGGTTTTCACCGTTTCTCCGCACTGTGGACACGTTGTAAAAAAAGCCTGATTTTTGGCATTGCAAGAATCGGCCCATTCTTTTATCTGCGCGTAGGAGAAGGAAATCTCGTGACCCTGCGAGCATCGAACTCCCGCCAAAAGCGAAGACGCAGTCTGTGATTCAGGAATTCCATAAATCGGAACTTCTTTTATCATATTCGGTTTTAAGCAGCGTTGAACCGCGATTCTACAAAAAAACCATTTCGAAAAGTGGAAACAGTGGTAGCACTAATGAAGGAACACAATTCTCGGAGAGTGGGAACTAAGATCGATGCATTCCCGCGGTTCTACCGTGATTAAATCGCCCTGTTTGATGTCAGTGCGCGCATAGAGCATGAGCACGTGATCACGGAACGTGTAGCACGTGTTCGCTTCGAATTCCTTTGGAAGCGCGAACACAAATGGGTAATACGCTACACTAGACAAAAAACCGCGGGACTACCATCCGCAATGGCTTTTCCCGCGGAAAATACGTTGATTCGATGGCGCTGGAAGGCGTAGAACGCTTTTTCTAAAAGAACGCGATCGACAACGCGGATGAAACTGTCGTTCTGCGCTGGGAAATTCCGGAAATACTGAAAAATTAAAAGAGAATAGAAGAACACAACGGAGTATAATCGCGAAAAAAGGGACTGGGAGGATTCAGTGAAATAAACTAGGCGGATTAATTGTTGAGGACTGGGAAATACACTCGGAATCAGTGCCGTCGAGAATGCACATGTGGCTGAGACACGAATATTCGTCGGTGAAAGTGTGATTCACGGGGATTTCGGTGAAGTCCTGCAGAACCTTGGAAATGGACTGGGCGAGTCGATTCATAATGATCTCCCACGCGAGCAGGCGACTTGGCTATGTAATCAGTCGATTGTACAAAAATTACAGTTTGACACTCCAATTCGTTCAGTTTTGTCAAATACTTGCATTCTTGCTTGTGAAAAGGCCTATAATAACACGGCTACAGCTAACCCTACCAATCTGCAGTCTGGCATTTCTTTGAACAATACCACACAAGGCGACATCTTGAGCAGCGCAGCAATTTAGAATAAGTCTTATAACAATAGTGGCACACTCCTGACAACATTTCATATTTGGGGCAGATCAATGCAGGAAACGCATATAAAACAAGTGTCCCTTTGGTTTAGATAAAAGAAAAAAGCAACCTTTTGGAATGTCTTGCGCGGCTCTGACAGCACTCTTCTTATTTTGGACTTTTTCAATGCCTCGAAAATACGAGAGTGAGGTATGATATAGCATGTTCCGAACGAAAAAACTATAGTCTTTGCTTTTGTCACTTGTGTTTTTGTTTTATTTTAGAATCCATATATTAGGGTCATAATCTCTGTTGTCTGTATTCATTGTGTCAGCCAAACGGTACGATTATGAGTGAACAAGAGCAACGTAAGATTAAATCTTCCTATCTCTGATTGTTTTAGAACTCCAACAAAGTGACGTACCCATATCGCTTCCAAATGTTGAAGTCACTACAACCATCGAAAGTATGTATTCTAAAGCTTAATCTGAGTCTAGATGACTCTCTAAATTTCAACACAATGGAAGCAAGACCCGAAGAATATCAATCAGGAACCTTCTACCAAGAAAGCCCCTCCTACCCCATGATCCAGCAGGAAATGCCACATCGAAGCAGAGATCAGCGCGTCTCTGCAATTTCAGGAGTGCCCACCAAGATTAGTTATGACGGCTAGGAAGAAATGGCTGGAGCCATCGATTACCACATTCCCAATTCCTTTGGCGTCATCTTCAAACCTCCTCCTTCGCAGAAAGTCGCTCCTGCCCTCCCTTTTTCCCAGCCCATTTCCTACCAACTCGCTCAGCCCATGAAAGAAACGCTCATCGGTACACAAAAACTCCCATTTCTCACTCAGAAACCCCGAACGCTCCCATTCTCCGTTTCCCCTCCCAATCCAAACCTGCGCAGATCCCCCTGCAGTCGTTTCATCCGCCATCCGACAAGCTTCCTGACGCTCCGACCGATTTATCGCTCTACGACCCCATGAACCACGCTTCGAAATCTGTGGGCCCCTATCTGAACGGGGAAAGCGAAGGTCTCGCGCTCGCTGGCTGCGATTACCCGCGGTTATTCAACTCGTCGCTGGGAGATTCGGTTCCAGTGCGTGTTTAAAGCGGAGTTTGAAGTAGAAACGCTCGTGCAGTTCGCTTCTGGAGAATCCAAAGCGAATCCGAAGCGCGTACAATTTCTTTTCGCAGGATTTCTTCAATAAAGAGCACATCGCGGCGGATCACCACGAGACGATTCACGACGCCGCAGCAGAGTGGAAGAAACTCCCGGAGAAGGAGCGGAGAATTTACGAGCAGAGGAACAAGGAGGACCAGGAGCGATACGAGAAGGAAATCAAGATTTATGAAAAGCAGTTTTTGGATCGGGGCGTGCCGGTGCTGTTGACGAAAAAAGGTGGGATTTTTGGAGGGGATTGGAGGGAAAGATCAGCGGAATTATTTGTATGACTGTATTCAGCGGAAAGATGTTTCGTCATTAGCGAAGTTCATGATGATTATGAATGTGGGGGAGGCGATCGATGATTCATTGGCAGAAAGACGATTTTGATGTTACGTTTGCGTTCGTTTCCGCGGTTATCAAATCTCTGAATAAGCGAATGAATTATCCGATGTGTATGGGAACGGAAAACGCAAGTCCCGATTTGATTGACTCCTGTTTTGAGGAGAAAATCGTGTATTATTGTCAGTTTCCGGGCTGCGGGAAGGAATTCAAGTCGCTTCGCAATCTTCGAGAGCACGTGAAAACGCACGAATGTGGGTCAAAACCGCGGGATTGAGTGTAGTGAATCGGAAGAAGGTGTTTGTGTGCGAGTTTGCGGGGTGTGGGAAATCGTTTTTGACGATGTCGGGTCTTCGGAAGCATCGATCGCAGCACAATCCGCAGAATCAAAGCTATGTGTGCGATTTGTGTGCGGATAAGAAGACATTCAAGACAAAGGAAGTGATTGTTTGTTGGTGGGAGTTGATGGTAGGGCTATATGCTTCATTACAAAAACAAACACATGCAGCAGCGATCGATTCCGTGTACGGAGCCGGGCTGCGATCGATCGTTTGCGAGGCGAGAAGATTTGAAGTTGCACTTAATTCGATGTCATAAGCATGAAAAGCCGTTCGTGTGTCCAGTGGAAACGTGCGGGAAAGCCTTTGCGAGTTCTTCTGAGTTAAAGCGCCATCAACGTTTACATTCTCTTTCGTGTGTTTGTTACGCGAATAAACAAACAAGTGAATGAATGAATGAATGAATGAAGGAAGGAAGGAAGGAAGGAAGGAAGGAAGGAAGGAATAAATTGGATAAATTGAATGAATTGAATGAATTGAATGAATGAATAAACAAACACACAAAATGTAAAAGATATTTCAATGAGTCAATGAGTCAATGAGTCAAAATCCCAACACTTCGCTCCTCGCTTTGATTCGTTCCTTCGCCCTCCTCACTCGATTGCTCGCCTTCCGATTGCCCATCCACCGAAACATCCACCGCCTCCATTTCTTCTCTCATCGAATTCATCACTTCGCGGTATTCCCGCTGATCCTCCTTGTACAGTTTCCACATTTCCACTTCAATATGCTTCATATCGCGAATCGAAACGAACTCCCACACCCCCACCGCCACCATAACCGCGATTAACACCTCCTCCACGATCACACTCGCGCTCCTCAGCAATTCCGACACCGAACGAAACTCCAGCACCACCGAATTCGCCTCGATTTCTGCCACAATTCCCTCACAAACGTCCTCCTCCTCTTCGTTCTGCGCACACGTCAAATAATACGACGGATTTCCGTACACATACACGAAAGGCGTTTCATCGACCGTTTCGCTGGACGGCGTGTAGGGTTCCCGCGGGACAGAGAACAAGCGGCCGAGGTAGTTGACATGCTGGTTGTCATCTGTGGCGAAGAGACAGGCGAAGCAGCCCGGGAGAAGCGAACAAGTGCGCGTGTTGGTGGCCAAATAGCAGTCGTTCACGTGATAGCGCAGCGAAACGCCCACGGTCTGGTAGAAATAGGTCCCATTTTCGTCAGGCTGCATCGATCGGAACACAAACTAGGGAGCAGTCCCGCGGGGATCCTACCGAAAAGTTGCGAAGTTTGAGGGAAGACGATAGCGAGTTCGGTCTTGTCAGAATCGCGGTGATTCGGCTTTCGAATCGAATTCGGAGCGTTTCGAATCCCATCAGCACGACAGAATATGGGGAAACGGGGAACCAGGTGTCGTTCTCCATCAGGAAAAAAGAATACTCACTGATTGGATAGAGGGAATTGTCTATTCCCGCCAATTCGTCCAACTGTGCCGCGGTTTCCCCTATTCCTCACCACTCCCGCGGTTTTCTACGCATGTTCTGCACCTCCATCGTGGTGATCGTGGAAACCGTGGAAGCGTTGGTGAGGGAAAACTCGACGTTGAAATCCGAGCGATTTGATTGGAGCTCGATGACGCAGGGGCCGGTAAAATTCCCGAAGCAGATTCCCGCGCAATCCATATCGCCGTTCATTGGATGCCCCGAAAACCCGCCGCTGCACACGCCGCAGTCGTCGATAACCGCGGTTCCGTCGCACACGCCCGCGCAGTCCACGTGCTACGTTTCACGCCATTCCCGCGGGTACGTCGATCGCGCAGCAGACTTGCCACGGGGGCGAGGAAACCGCGGGGATGGAGGTGCCGTGGCAGTAGCCGAAACAGTCGAGGAATTCGATCGAACAGCAGGATTCGGCGCGGTCCAACACCTACGTCGAGGGCGTTTCATCGAGAGTACTTGTCCCGCGGGACAGTCCGACGCGTCGGAACCGTAGAGAATTCCGTCGTCGCCGATGCACTCCGTCTCGGTTTCCCCGTTTCCACATTTGCCGCAGGGACCGCAGACTTGGCCGGGCTCGTCACTGCAGGATGGAGAAACCGTGGAAACGGAGGTATGGAGAATCAGGGGCGTTTCAGTTTCGATGATTTGCCAGGATTCGAAGGAAGTCGAAGAAAACCTGGCGATTACTATAATTCCAAAAATCGGACGCGATTCGTAACTGAAGCGTTTCGTTCTGGGAGAGCAAAACCGGCTTCCAGCACTCGAGGAAACTCCCAGTCTGATTGAGGCTGAAAATCAGGGGGATTTTTGGAAACAAGTACTAGGCGATGGAATACTCGCCGGTTTCCCCGAAATAACAGCGAAACTGGAGTTTCGAGTTGTCTCCGCAGGCCAGCACGTCGAAGGAGACTTGGAGGGAAACCACTTCGTGGAAGAACATTCCATGGAACTACGCTCGAGACCGACGTTCCGCGGGGAAACGCAGAATTCGGTGGGCATCAAACACATCGCGACAGCGTAGGAATAGGCGTAATCGTCGATTCCCGCGGCTTGCTGGTTCATAATCCCCTGCAACATGGGATTCAGCACATTGCCGTTCACATAATTCCCGTCGAGGGTCATTCCCCTAGGTAGAACCGCGGGAAAAAGAGTACCAATTATTGTAGGAGGAGGGAATAAACGGACTTCGATAGGTGTAGTTTCCCAAGGTGAAGAAGGGGCGCGCGCCGACAAAGCCTTGCTGGTGTTGCGCTGGATAGGTAAAATCGATCTAAATAAGTTAAGAAAAAAAAGAAATAGGAAATACTGATTTGTAAATGTAGTAGGCACTCCCGTCGCGATTGAGGGAAAGCATGAATGTTTGGGGAAAATCCGGCTCGTCGTACAGGGGGATCTCTTCCCAGCGGACCACAAAATGATCATTATCCCAACCATAGTCGATCGTACAATTCTCGGAAAAGGTTGGATTCTACAAATAACTCCATAAAATGTGTGTAAATATACAAAATCAGCAAGAAAAGGAGCATGAAAAGCTTCATAGCTTTCCGTATATAAATAACAATTGGTCGATATAAAATAACCGTCGCATGGAGCTCCAGGAATAAAAAACACAGCACCATTCGGACTAATCCAAACATGTTCTTGTTTTCTGTCATAAAACAAGTACGGCCACTAAAGTCAAATTGTTTTGAAATTTAGTACAGGCAGTTCTACATGATCAACTGGGGAGTCATCGCAGTAACGAGCAGCCGATTGCGTAAAATTGGATATCTGTGCGGTTACATTGGTCACAGACTGAAGAATAGGTATATACTGTAATGCAAAAACAACATGCGAAAATAAGCCGAAAAATAGAAGCAACATATTTAAAAAACCGAGGTAAGTACTATGTTGCAGTATGATAATAAAACACAAAAAACACAATCTGGTGTGTTTGGTAAAATATAGGAAAAAGAAAGCACACAGTGGGACTTGAACCCACAATCTCTTGCTCCGTAGGCAAGCGCCTTATCCAATTAGGCTATGCGTGCTTGTTATCCTTCTTCTAAAAGGACTATATGTCACCACGATCCAACTCATTTTCTAAATATCTCAGATTGTTCTCATGCAGTGGTACAGTTTACTAGTGTGTTGTAAAGAATCTTTATTTTGTACACCATAGTGTATGCTCTTCTGCTTTGTTCGGTGGGTTCTTGTGATGCTTTGAACAATGTACCTGCAAACAGAAGATCGCTGCGTCTTAGTGAAGCAAACCGTAAAATTGAGGGTTTGGCGTAATCTGTAGGAGTCTCTTTTTGTACGAAAGAGACCAATGCAATTTGTGGATCAGGCAACATGGAGCAAAATAAATCGATAGATAACCTAGTTTTTGACTCTCAGGAAGTCAATTCAAAGAATAGAGGTTTGAGTGAGGAAGAATCTTATGTATTCGTAGTCTATATCTTTTCATACTAGGATACAAAGTCTGCCTCTTCTGATAACAACCAACTTTCTTCGGAGCGCCAAGTTTCAAGTGTTGTATCTACTGGAAGTTCAAATGGCGAATTTTCGTTCCTTCCTATCAGCATTACCTCTCGTTCTTCTTCCTCTGTCGAATTCTCTTTCCAATCGCCCTTGCAGGAAGAAGCCACGTGCCGTCTTCTCTACAACGGAAAGGTGGTGCGATCGGAGCGTGTTCCCATCAAATCTTGGGATGAGATGTCCATCAGCGGTCTGGAGCCATCGAAGCAATACACGCTCTTCTGCGGTGCTTCTCGTTCCGTCGATAAGCTTCCCTCCGATTTTAATGGTGCCGCCAAATCCGTGTTTATCCCCGCGGCCACGTCCCGCTCGGGAGTTACCGTCTACTTGATAATCGCGGTTATTCTGCTGAGTCTGGGGGGAGTTTTCTACTGTTTTGTGAATCGATCGCGTCTGTTCCACCTCGGTTTCGCTTCCACGTTTCCACTTTTCAGACGTTTCATTTTCAGAGTGGAAACCGTGGAAACGGAGAAAGAGCCGGAGGAGCAGCGCCTTTTACCGCGGGGACCGCAGATCAGCAAGGAAACTGCCGCGGTTTTGGAGGGAATTTCGCAGGAAACGACGTGGCGATGCCCCATCTGTAACCGCCGAAACGCCCGTCAAAAATAGGCCAATATTTGAACCCGAAGAATGAAACCACCTGCACGATGTGCCATGCCCCGCGGAACTCTTCGCAGCCCTCTCTGCAGCCCGCCTCACCGGAGGATTCCTTCGACGACTTCGAGGAATTCCCGCGGGAGGACGCGGAGGCGACGACGAGTTTTGCCGCGCAAACGGTCATGCCGAAAGAAGCGCCGAAGATTGTGCGGGACACGGCGGAATCCGAGGAGGATCTGTCGTCCGATGAAACGCCCGTAACGGAGAAACCGAAGACGGTTTTGGCGGGAAAAGTGGCGCCCGTGGTGTTGGGGAAACCCGCGGGGAAACCCACTGGAAATGGAGTGGGGAAACCAATGGGGAAACCAGTGGGGAAACCAATGGGGAAACCAGTGGGGAAACCAACGGGGAAACCGGGAGCAAAACCCGCGGGGAAGCCAGTGATGCTGAAACTGCGCGAGGAGAAAACCGCGGGGAAGGAGGACGTGGTGATAAAGAAAAAGTCGGTGGCGGGAAAAGAGGCGGGAAACGTGAAGGCGAAGTCGACGTCGATGAAAGTGGTGTCGAAACCCGCGGGGAAGCGCGAGGTGGATGTGTTCGCCGAGTTGGGGATGGGAGCAGAGTAGAGGAGAGGGAGGAGTGCGATGTAGAGTGAAGAAAACGACGCGAATTAGCGCGGCAGCGGCGAAGAAAACGGAGACGAAGCCGTTGGAGATGAGCGATGACTCTGTAGGGTATAAAGTGGAAGTGGGACGTAGGGATCGAGTGATGCCTGGGGTAAAGATGATGACTTGGATCTGTCTAATTAGTGTTGTGTACGGTTGAAGTGGATTGTGTTTGTTTGAAACTCTCGAGAGTGGAAAGGATTTGTAGCGGTATTGTGTTGAGCAGTTTCGTACAATATATAAGCTGATTGGACGATTGTTATTTTATTTTTTAGTTGAAAAGGTGAAGACTATTTATCTTATATAGGACAAATTGAGAGTTCTTACAAGCCCGTCTAGCTCAGTCGGTAGAGCGCCAGGCTCTTAACCTGGTGGTCGGGGGTTCGAGCCCCCCGGTGGGCGCTTCTCTTTTCCTTTTCCGTTTTTTTACAGAAAACATTTATAGAGGATATGTATTTCATCGCAAAATGCTTTTCTTTTTTATTTGCGAAACTTATAACATAGGTTCTTCCCATTTAAACATTTTGTCAACCAGTATTTGATTCTTCTCTTTATGTTTGTCGATTACGTGAATAATTCCGTATTCATCGATTTTGAAGGTCGTCAGAAAATGTATCTCTGATCTCGGAGCAGGGTCAAATCCGTCGATCACATATTCTTCGACTAAGTCGCATTTTTCTCGGTTTTCGATATCACCAACACTTTTAGCATTTCCCTGATAGATCGCACAGCTAATCGATCTTGTATAATCCCTCGGAGGAACTGTTTCCGACTCTCGACTTGTGCATGGGATTTCACTTTGGCATGGTATTAAACACTGAACACGGTTTCTCTTCAATTCTTGTCCCAGACTGTATACAACTCGATCCTTCAAGTTGAGAGTACTAACTAAAGTTTGGCAAGCTCCTCGAGCTACAGCCAGCTCAGCATTTACTTCACCGCCACTCACTTTTCCTGATCCAAACATCTTTTCCAGGCGTTCTTTGACAATGGTTAGTTGACTCGATCCTCCGATTAATACTACTTGATCGATACTGCTCGTACTCAGTCCACATTCTGATAGACATTTGTTTACTATGTTAATGGAAGTATTGATCTTTTCTCGAATACAATCGTTCAGTTCAGAACGAGTAACTTTCATAGAGTATTCATCTTCATCCGAGTCATCCGAATCGTCATTTTCTAATGATTTCTTAGGGTCAATACCAAATCCAGTCAAGTCGACATAGGTGGTCTCACTTGATGATAATCCGATTTTGGCTTCTTCAGCTAATGATAGTAAATGAGCTTGTAGTTTGCGACGGGTCTTCTCATTATTAGATCGTATTAATGGAACATGGTAATCGCTCTTACACTTCTTTTCGATATAATCTGCAAATAGTGAATCAAAATCAGCTCCACCCAAAAATGGATCACCCGCATATTTCAATACTGTATAATCTCCGCGATTTACACGAATTATCGATACATCAAATGTTCCACCTCCCAAATCATATACAAGAATTGTTTGGTTATCAATGTGCTTCAATTTACAATAATGGAAAGCAGCGGCAGAAGGTTCATTCATCATTTTTAACTTTTCTTTCGGAATTCCAGCTTTCTCGACAGCTAAAAGAGTAGCAGTACGTTGATTATTATTGAAATTAGCAGGAAATGTGATCATGACTTTGACACATTTCATATCACTTCCATAAGATTGTTTAACATACTTATCAGCAGTTTCATAAGTACGTTGAATAATTCTGGAAGCAACATCACTCGGAGCAAGCGTGGTATTACGATCAATACGAAGAACAGGTTTATCATTGACTTCTTCAATATCGACTGCACATTGCTTTTCAGTTTTACATCTCTGAACAATTTCATCACTATAATATCTCCCTAGAATTCTTTTCACATTCCGAACGATACCACCTTTTCCTGTCGACAAATGTTTATAAGCAGCATCTCCGACATCAGCATTCTTACCATATTGAACACATGATTTGAGTAGATGAGCACCATTAGGAAATGGTACTGTTATCGGATCAGGTTCTCTGGAAGTCATGAAAGCGGCACAAGTATTTGTAGTACCGAAATCGATTCCAAGAACATACTCATCTCTTTGCAGATTCATCGAAATATGAATTAAACTGAATCAAAATATATTTTGTTATTTTTGAAAGTGTTATATATAAATGGAAATGCCAAAATTGTTCCTATTTTGATTCTGTTAATTCTCTGTTTGATTCTATTCCATTCCATTCTATTCCATTCTATTCCATTCTGTTCTATTTTGTGTTGTTTTATTTTGTTATAATATATTTAATTGTTGAAAATATAAATATGAATATTTGGTTTCAAAGAATGACATATTACTAAAATCACTAATATATATAATTTAAACACTACTGAGTAATTGGGTTCGAATCTTATAGATAAATGTTATTTATTTTTTCCTTGTTTCTTCGTTTTTTTATTTTCATTATGTTTTTAATTATTCTCTTTGTTTATTCTTCATTCAGAAAAAGTATATAACAAACACTGGTTTTAATTGTACTTCAAACCCATAATTAGGTTCCTGTAAATTAGATAGAGTCCTAATAGTTAAATAGGTTCTTTCCATCTGAACATCTTATCAACCAGTACTTTATTCTTCTCCTTATATTTTTCTATAACATGGATAATACCCCATTCATCGATAGTATAAGTGGTAAGAAAATGTATTCTATCAGCTGGGGCATAATCATAGCCTTCTAATCCATATTGTTCAACCAATACACAATCATCTTGTCGTTCGATATCACTAATTTGTTTTGCATTTCCCTGATATATAGCGCAAGATAGAGATCGTGTGTAATCCTCTGGAGGAACTGTTTCTAATTCTTGGCTAATGTACTTAATAACACTTTGGCGAGGTATTAAACAACGAATACGATTTCCTGTTAATAACTGTCCCAGACTGTATACAACTCGATCCTTCAAGTTGAGGTTGTTAACCAAAGTTTGACAAGCTCCTCGAGCTACTGCTAATTCAGGATTTACTTCACCGCCACTCACTTTCCAGGATCCAAACAATTGTTTCAAACGTTCTTCTACAATCGTCAGTCGACTCGATCCTCCGATTAATACTACTTGATCGATATCACTTGTACTCAATCCACATTCTGATAGACATTGTTTGACGAGATCAATTGATTTATCAATCAATCTGCGAATACAATTGTTCAGTTCAGAACGAGTAACTTTCAAAGAATAGTCGTCATCATCCGAGTCATCCGAGTCAGAATCATTGACTAAGGACTTCTTTGAGTCATTCCAAATCCCTATTAAATTGACAAGAGTCCTATCATTATTAGATAGTTCGATTTTGTCTTCTCAAGCTAATGATAGAAAATGAGCTTGTAGCTTCCGACGGGTCTTTTCATTATTAAATCGTATTAGGAGTAAGTGATATACTTAGCGTAACTTCTCCTCAATATGCTTAGCAAATAGTGAATCAAAATCAGCTCCGCCCAAAAATGGATCACCCGCATATTTCAATACTGTATAATCTCCGCGATTTACACGAATTATCGATACATCAAATGTTCCACCTCCCAAATCATATACAAGAATTGTTTGGTTATCAATGTGCTTCAATTTACAATAATGGAAAGCAGCGGCAGAAGGTTCATTCATCATTTTTAACTTTTCTTTCGGAATTCCAGCTTTCTCGACAGCTAAAAGAGTAGCAGTACGTTGATTATTATTGAAATTAGCAGGAAATGTGATCATGACTTTGACACATTTCATATCACTTCCATAAGACTGTTTAACATACTTATCAGCAGTTTCATAAATGCGTTGAATAATTTTGGAAGCAACATCACTAGGTACAACATAAGTATCATCAGCAACTGTAAATGCGGGCTTACCTCCAAAGTTCTCAATATCGACTGCACATTGCTTTTCAGTTTTACATCTCTGAACAATTTCGTCACTATAATATCTCCCTAGAATTCTTTTCACATTCCGAACGATGCCTGACATGCCCATCGACAAATGTTTATAAGCAACATCTCCGACATCAGCATTCTTACCATATTGAACACATGATTTCAGCAAATAAGAACCATTAGGAAATGGTACTGTTATCGGATCAGGTTCTCTGGAAGTCATGAAAGCGGCACAAGTATTTGTAGTACCGAAATCGATTCCAAGAACATATTCATCTCTTCGCAGATTCATCGAAATATGAATTAAACTGAATCAAAATATATTTTGTTATTTTTGAAAGTGTTATATATAAATGGAAATGCCAAAATTGTTCCTATTTTGATTCTGTTAATTCTCTGTTTGATTCTATTCTATTCTATTCCATTCTATTCTGTTCTATTTTGTTTAGTTTCTTTACATATATATATGAATTTGAGCAAAAATCTAAAGACATCGATGAAATGATAAATAATAGTGACTTTCAAGAAATCTACTGGCATACTCAAAATAGATTATCCTCATAAAAACACACTTAACATACGTAGTAATAGGTAGGGGCAAGAAAATTATAGCTATGGAACCAAACTGATTATGTAATGTCCTGTTAAACGTACTTTTTATATGATCTAAGTATTCAATTGATTAATTAGCGATATCTGAGTAATATCCTCACATAACAGCCTAGCTTCCTTGAGTTTGTTGTATGCAATCACAATAATTTTATTATTCAGACGGAGTAATATGTACATAAATGATAAAAGACAATATGTCAAAACCCAAATCATACATGCAACACCGCTATTTTGTTAAAAATCGATTTCATACGTCAAATATGTGATAAGGTAACATCTTTAGTATTGCAATACACGAACAAAACGATTGAAACCGAGATTTAACACAAAACACATGTCACATATATTTGGATGTATGTACAGTCCTTTCATTGAGTATACTGTCACAAATAATGCATAACATACTATGAATAAGTGAAAATAGCAAAAAAAAAGTCCAGTCTTATCAATATGCCATTCCAGGTTCGAATCCTATCATCCTATTTTTTCCAGCATTATTTCTGTGTATGTATACGAATAATTTTCATGCAGACTCCTAGAACCGCAATTGATAACGACTGCGGTGAATCAGCAGTCCAGCCAGACATATATTGCTCGGAAACTAATCGTGGCTACTCTTTGTTCTTTCGAAATGTAGAGTCGAGCATCTATAGTAACGGCGATCCGAAATCGGATAGGTTAAATCGATCAGGTAATAGCGATAGAATTGATGGTAATAGTGGTTGTTCTCTATTATCTGATAGGACTTTTCCCTAAACCAGGAATTTTCGATTCCTGTAATATGCGTACTGTATCTAAAGATAGTTTAGCTTATTTACCAATGCCAGCAAGTGACCATCTTTGTAATCCTTATAGAAGTTACCCTTTTACTCCTGGTTATTCTCAGGTATTCTGTGCGTTTTGTAGTGGACCCTAGTTCCAAGAGGACAATTTCTACCAGAGAAACCCATCTTTATGGAATTCAGCATCTGGATCTTATCTATCTGGTGTTTCTCCATCAGGCAGCCCTTATTTATCAGGGTCGTACTCAGGCAGTCTCGATTCCCATTCAACCCGAAGTCTCGGTGTGCCTTCTTCCTCCTCTTCTTCCTTTCCTTCCTTCCAACCTGCCTCGCCTGCGTCCTCTGCTTATTCCGTTTCTTCTGGAGTCACCGTTGCTCCGTGCGTTTCCCCTCCTTCATTATACCCTGTTTCCCCCGTTTCCTCTATTCCCCCGCGGTCTCCGCTCTCTCCCATTTCCTCGCTTCCCTCCGTTTCTCCTCGCTTCCAACGTCTCCCCATCCCCTCCATCCCCGCGGTTCCTCCCCTCTCAACCCCGCCCAATTCTGCTTCGCCCGTTTCAGCGGCTTTCCCCGCGAATCCGTGTCGTGGCGTGAACTTTTCCACGGGCTCTGGGTGCGTTTCAGGGGATATAAAGACGTTTCGTCCGCACGGCCTGTCCGAATCGGTGGTAAAGGAGAGCGTGCAGTGGATTGAAGAGATCATTGAATATTACGGAGGCGTGATGAGCCTCGCTTTGCTTCAGCAAGTTTTGTTTAGGGTAGACCGATCTTTCTTTTGCAGCCTGTTCGATTCTTTTTCCGGACTGCAGCCGTTTCTTTTGATGTTTCCGAATAGATTCTCTATTGCGAAACAAGGAGATCGGGTTTTTGTTCAACTCCTTCAGCGTCCTGTGGTTGTGCAGGACTCTTCGGTTGGGAACTCAACGGGAGAGGAGTTTTATCGTGATTCGAATGTGGGTTTCGGTGGCGTATTTCATTTAGGACATCATTTTGTGTGTGCTTTATTATAGCTGCGTTCTGCTGCAACAATCGCCTACACGATCTCTGAAATCCGTGGAATTAGCGAATAATATCCGAGATAACTTAGGGAGTGTACGCAGATGGATCGGGTTTTGAAGCTCAGAACATTCTTGTTTTTGTACGAAATCATTTTTCCGGCCTTCTTTGTCTCTACGAACAATATCCACAGCTTTTCTCCGTTTCTCGCATCCCCAAAAACGATAAGGTGTTTCTCGTTTGTGAAAAGATCCCCGACTTTCCTGATCGAATTAAATGTGCGTTTCGCGGTGATCGGGGTTTGATCGGTAGCTCTCCACTTGCAGAAACATTCGCGTTGTCTGCACGTGGGGAATCTGGACCCTCATCTCACCGAGGAGGACGTCCGGAGAGAGTTCAGTGCTTATGGAGATGTTAAGGGAGTGCGAATTGTCACGCAAGGAGGTAGGACAGAAGGGACTGGCGGCGATGTCTTGCAGATCGTCATTACGGCTTCGTGTACTTTAATTCGGTCGATACCGCCGAAAAAGTGCGGTCGATCCTGTTGGAAAAACCGGAGTGGAAGGGAAACATTGCTTTTGCGAGGAAGAAAAAGTCAGGTCGATCGCATGCGAAGCGGGGATCGGCAGATTGACGCGTCTGTCCGTTAATCGAATAAGCTGTGGGTATCGGTTCAAGAAGGGAAAGCAGTCAATAGTTCAATTGGTGTCACGTTTGATGTTGTTATGCTTGATGTGAGATGTTTGTTTGTATAAACGTGGTGCAGGGTTTGTAGACAGATTAGCGCATTCCTGCGGCTCTATGATTACCCATTTCGTGCATGGAAATAGAACCTTGTATGGAAGAATGACAAAATAACTTGAATTTCTGTATTTCACACTTTTTTAATATTTTGGATTATTTTGGATTTTCAAGATTGATAGTGTAATTCTAGAGTTGTAGAATGATGGTTAGAATGAGATCATTACAAATTGCGCCAATGATTATCATGCTAGGAATAATCTGTACCTGGGTGATTTACGAAAACGTTTTTCTAGTGCATAATCGTTACGAGAACGGCAGAACTTCTTTTAACGTGGTCGACTCGGAATTAAGTAAATCCTACACAATATATCGGACCGAAAATGCGACTCTTACAGAATTTAACGGAGTTCGTGCTATTATCCAAATGGATAAGGAAGTTTATTTTCCAGGTGAAGCAATGAAAATTCGTGTTGTTTTTGTTTATGCGGAAAATGGAACCCTTGTTCCCCTTCGTGTTTCCCGTTCAATAACACTCAAAGTTGTTTTTCCTGATAAGCATGAGCAGCCTTTACCACGTATTTCGCGTTTTTCGGGAATAGTTTATTCTTACTATCATACCTGTTTTTTATTTTATATCGATATCTAACGGGTAGCCAACGTGGAAGGAGTTTATCAGTTGGTTCTTTCAGCAAATAAGGGTAAATTCTCTCTTTCTCGCAGCTTTATGGTTGCTTCGATCAATCGAAACCGTGTGTTTATCGACATTTCCCTGGATAAAGATATCTACAATTTCGGCGAAACTGCCTTTGTTAATGTGTCGACCAGCATTTTGGACAGCACATCTCTGCATAGTGGTGTATTGTCCATTTATGCGGTTATGAATCAAGGCAGATACACCATCGTTTCTCTCCCTTTGTATTTTTGACTTGTAGTTTTCCGAAACCATCCAAACAAATCAAGTCATTGCTGCCAACTTCACCATTCCTTCCATCACCGCGCTGTATTCCTCCTTCATCGAAGTTTCCTTTGTAATGAACGGCGATAAAACAACGCAAACGAAGCTCCTCCCGATTTCCTCCACCGAGCAAGTCTCTGTTTTCATCTATCCAGAGGGAGGATTTCTAGGCTGCTCGCTAAAGAATCGCTTTTACTTCCAAGCCCTGGATCGTTTCAATAAGTCGATCAATGTGGAGGGACGCGTATTGGATTCGGCCAATCAGATCGTAGCGAAAGTGATATCGGGAGTGGATGGTCGAGGACGAAGCGATCTGTTTTCTGTGTCTCCCAAAGAGACATATTTCTTTGAAATCACAGCGCCGATTCCGTTTGTTGGACAGAGGACGAAGCTTCCTACGTGAGAATAGTTCGTCGTTTTGATTCGTAGATGTGAAAAGCTCCCTGTGCTTGAAGCGTTTTTCGAAAACAACAAAATTCATGTGAATATTCAGACCCAACCGGATCAGCAAACTCCGTTCTGGCTTGAATTATATCGACAAACGCGGCTGCTAACTGAAATTAGCAATCCAGGGAATAAGAAATCGTTTGAAATAGATCCCCAGGGTTATTATGGAGTTTGTGTTGAAGGGTGAGGACTAACATGCAGGTGATTCGGGTGACTTTGTCGATCCCTGGAAGGCAGCATTGTCATATTGGAAACCGAATGTTCGTTTCGGAACGATTGGTGTTTGTTCCTCCTCCTCCTTCGGATTCTTCTTCTCTTGCGATTTCGATTGACAGTCAAAAGAATCATAAGGGTTTTGTGTTTGAGAGCGACGATGTTTTAACTATTCGTCCTGATTTTGGAAGCAAATCGGGAGGTAGGCAATGAAGCATTATCGTGCTATTTGTAGTGGCGATGTTAATAGTCATTGATAAAAAGGATGTCAAAAATCTGGGCAATTTTAAGAATCAAATGATGGATGAGTTCTTGTTAGGATCGGAAGTTCTCGACTTTACGGACACAATGAAACGCTTCTTGCATGAATCCAACATGGAAGAACTCGACTATTTGATGGGTGTCCAAGGATGGAGACGTTTTGTGTTCCAATGTCCCACCGAAATCCCCCCAAAACAAGCCAATCTTGTACTAGGGAACCTCACCGCGGTGCAGGCCGATCCCTCGGATAATGCAAATGAATTGGATCCCATTTCTCCCTTCGGAATGTTTGCTCGAGGCAACAGAAGGGATGATCGAATCCGAATGAATTTGATGGCGGCTCCTCGAGCTGCGATGATGGAAGATGTTCGAGAAGAAGTCGACGCCGTTCCACCGGTTGTGCCGGAGAGAGCGATGGCGATGAATATGGCGGAGCGAATCGTCGGAAGAGACGTGGCCAAGCAGAAAGTTGCTGCACTTGAGGTCCCGTTGCTGTTCCCGGAGTTCCGAAAGCGAGCCAGCACGATCGTTTGGAAGCCTGCGCTCCGCGTGGAAAAAGGAGAAATCAAAGCGAGTAAGTGGAACGTGCCGCTGCCAAATGTGGCTACCACCTATTTGGTGTATGTGAATTTTATTAGCGACGGCGGAATCCAAGAGCGAACCGAAGAGATCCAAACGATCCGAACCTTGTATATGGAGTCCAAATTGAGGGCGGGAACGCTTCTGCTCTGCGAGGATGATGTGATGAAACTCCCGTTTACGCTGATTAACAACGGGGAACACAATGTAGGGCTAGTTCCCGCGGTTTTATGTAGGTTTCATTGGCGTTGAAGAGCAAGGCGCCGTCAGATTGGGTCTCCGTCGAGGACGGCGAGTTTTCGGTGGCTGGTTCGTCGAGTGCCCGCGGTTATGTGAAGATTCTTGTAGGGATTTTCTGACGCTGGTTTGTGTAGGCGCGATATCCGAATGTGTTTTCTTTGATTTCTCGCCGCATGAACAGAGGGTTCTTCATCAACCAGGCGACTGAGAATTTGATTCGAAGTGTGACTCCGTTGAGAATGCTGCGAGTGAATCTGATCGATCCTAACACTGCCGAAATCGCGGGGAATGAGCCGGATTCAGAGGATCGAGTTGGATTGTATAGAAGAAGAGGAAGAAATTCGCGAGCAATCGATTCGGTCCGTTATGATCTTCTGGTGCAGAGCAGTTCCGCTTTTAAAATCTATTTTGAAGTGTAGAATACACGAAGATCGAGAAAACGTCGATCGTTCAGTTAGCCGGAACGGAGGAATCGACGGCGAAGCAGTCGGTTCGAGTGCATGTTCCTGCGAACGGCGTCGAACGCTATCGCTTCGTGGCGATCCGCAATCTCAACAGCATTTCCACGCTGCTTCGCGAGGCCGCCAACGTGTTAATCCACGAACCCAACGGCTGCTTCGAGCAAACTTCCTCTTCTCTCTATCCCATGATCGTTCTATCGGAGATCGATTCGTTCTCCAACGCGAAGCAGCCCATTCTCCACGGATTGGATCGCTTGCTTTCCTTCGAAGTCGAAGGCGGAGGCTTCTCTTGGTTCGGCAAAGCGCCCGCGCACGAATCGCTTTCATCGCTCGGCCTGCTTCAGTTCGTCGCGCTTCGTCCGCTGCTGAAGGAATGGGAGGAGTGGGAGCGATTGGAGAAACTGGAGAACGCGATCAACCGCACGATGACGTGGCTGGCTTCGAAATTGGGTTTGAATGGAGGGAGTTTGTGAGGTAGATCGCGAAGAACGCGCGTTTGTTTCGCTGTCGAAGCAGTCGCTGGACTCGTTTGGAAGAGCGGATCCGATTGTGCAAGAAGCGTACGTCGTGTATGCGTTGTCGCAGATTTCGGAATCGAATTCGATTGCGAATCCGATGTGGAATGTACGGAAAGGGAAGGAATGATTCTGTGAAGGAATTGAGCGCAGTCGCCGATCGAATTTACGAGGATATGCAGAAGAAGGCGATTCCCAATACCTATTTGCTGGCTCTGCTCGCCATCGCCTATCGAAATCTGGGATGTGAAGAAAAGGCCCGACTTTTGGAATCCCGGATTTTGGAGAATCTTCGCGAAGATGGGTCGTTTGACCACAGCGAAATGACGATTACCTGTACCTTTATCGCGGTTCTTCTCTCTAGATTCCCGCGGGAATAGTCTGTTGATCGAGACAGCGGCGTTGGCGGGCCTTTCGCTGTCCAATTCGAATTCGAACGAAGAAGCGCAGAATCGCATTTCCATGTTTTTAATCTCCCAGTACGCGGTATGTGTTGTTGTTTTTTCGGATAATGACAGAACGGTCACTTCGGATCCACGCAGGGAACGGTGCTAGCGCTGCAGTTTATCAAGGGAAGATTCGCGAAGCTTGTCATGATCATGTATCCTTGTTAGGTGTAGAATTGCCCTGTAACGGCCGTTTTGGATGGAGATAAAAGTGTGGAGCTTTCTTCGAAGGAAGAACAAATCCCGCTGAAGACAAGCGGAGATCATGAACTGGAGCTGAGGTCGGAGTGTAAGGCGACGATCTCTGTAGTGACTTCGTACTTGATTGCTGTGCCCGAAAATGGAAATTCGACCCTGAAAATGGAGTTCCTCGTCCCAAACACGATGCATGCCAAGGAGGGAAAGCTGGTACAGCAGCAAGTTCGTGTAACGAACCATGGAGAGGCGATGGGAATGGTAACCGCTGTCGTAGGGAGCGAGAAAGGCGTGTGAACGTAGATCGGGATTCCGAGCGGAGTGGAGGTGGAAATGGACCACTTGAAATCCATTCAAGAAGAAGGCGCGTTTGATTATTTCGAAGTGAGAGGGAGAGACTTGATTGTGTACTGGGAAACGGTGCCGGCAGAGTTTGAGAGGACATTTTACGTTGCGATGATTCCTTTGGTCCCAGGTTTTTATCAAACGCCTGCCAGTTACGTTTATGAGTACTACAATCGGGACAATATCCACTGGATTCCCGGAATGACTTTAATAATTGATGAGTGATTCGTCTGAATTGTTTGTAGCAATAAGAGAGCACTATTTTAAAAATTGTGTCGATTCAGAGGTATTTCGCGGCATGACGACATGCACTACACACATATCCATTTTGTCTAAAAGGACATCAAATAGACTATTGTATTGTTTGATAAATAAAATATTTAGTCTATAAATATGGATCCATCTGAAGAGTATGATATCCTTGGTGTAGCGTGATGTGTAGAGAAAGACCAAGAGCTCGTCCGGGTGCTATGGAAATGGGTCCGAGGCCTCGTCCGGGAGCGGGACCACGACCCCGTCCGGGAATGATGCCACGTCCTCGCCCAGGAATGATGCCGCGCCCTCGTCCTGGATTAGGACCTCGTCCTCGTCCGGGTCCAAACGCAGATTCATCTGATTTTAGTGAAGATGAGGTGATAACGGCATCTATGAAAAAGAAATCTGGAAAGTCTGGTAAAAAGTCAAAGCATCATAGTGAAAAGGGAGAAGGCCATCATAAACAGCATCATCACGGTGATCCTTCAGGACTTCCAGGCCCGCGTGGTCCGCGGGGACTTCCGGGACCACGGGGACCACGAGGACCACGGGGACCACGGGGACCTCGTCCAGGAATGAATGCTCGCCCTCCCATGCCTCGCGATCCGTTCCGCGTGACTCCTCAAGAACTCCAGGAATACAGACGTCTGTTTGATATATACGATGTGAACCACACGGGTTTCTTGGAGGCCTCGGTGGCCGCAGAGTATCTGACGCAAAGTCGACTTCCCCAGCCGATTCTGCACAATATTTGGGAGTTGGCCGATCGAGATCACGATGGTTTGCTGTCAGAGTACGAGTTTATCATCGCCACGCACGTAACGAAGCTGGTTCAGAAGCGAGTAGGCGCGAATGGAGAGGACGATGAGTAGAATATTCCGATTCCCTCGACGCTTCCGCCCGCGTTACTCGAAGAAAACCTGGGCAAAGAGGTGATCAAAATCCCTCCCGAGAAGCTGAAGGAGCTCCAGCCAGTGGATATGGTAGGGAAGCGATGGGGAGTGCATGGTAGGACGACTCGAAGCTGTCGATCGAGGAGCTCCGATCGAAAGTGGAGGGCACGAAGAAGGATTTGCTGGACCAGGAGAAAGCGATCACGGAGAAATCGGAGGAGTCGAGACAGCTGACGAGCGAGCTGTGCGAGCTGGAGAAGCAGCTGGCGGATCTGAATAAGCTGATCGCGATGCAGGAGGATTACGATAAGACGATCGACACGGCGTGGAAGATGGCGAGACTGCAGTATCATCAGATTAAAAACAACGAGGTGATCGAATCGGAGAGCGAGGAAAAAGAAAAAGAAAAAGAAGAGGAAGGCGCGTTTAGCTGGAGCGATTTGGATGATGATGGATCGAAGAAGGAGGATGAGGACGAAGGGGAAGAGAAGAGCGACGCGTCGGAGAATGAGTTCGATTGGGACGATTGGGGGAAGGCCGACCAATCCGACTCTGCCGACGAAAAGGACGCCGAGGACGCCGAGGATTTCTTCAAGTCGTTCGACGCTTCCGACGACGACGACGCGGACACCACCAAGACGAAGAAAAAGGGCGGCAAATCCGGGGACGCGGACGAAACGCCCAGGTCGCCGAAGTCGCCGAAGTCGCCGAAGTCGGTGCGCAGCGAGTTCGGTTCGGAGGACGAGGATTTGCCCGCCATTCCCAAGAAGAAGAAGTCCCCGCCCCCGCCACCCCCTCCAAAACCGCGGAATTTCGACGAGGACGACGAAGACGATTTGCCCGCCATTCCCAGAAAGAAACTCCCGCCCTTGCCGCCAGCGAAACCGGGAAAGAAACTCCCGCCCCTACCACCCGGGAAACCGGGGAAACCGGGGAAACCGGGGAAGAACGAGCCTCCAATGCCGCCAAGACGAAGATTCGAAGAGGAAGAGGATGATGATTACAGAGATGATGAAGATGAGTATGAAGACCGAAGAGGAAATCGCGGTCGGAAGCCGAATCGAAGTCAAAGAAGAAGATATGAAGACGAAGACGAAGAGGAGGAAGAGGAAGAGGAAGAGGAAGATTACACTCCACGTAGAGGAAAGCAGCCTCCTCCAAAACCAGGAAGGAAGCCGTTCAGAGATGAGTCAGATGAAGAGTATTAAGGAGGTGAATGTGATACTGTGTTTTGCTGTTTTTGTTGGTTTGTTGAAAGAAAGATAGTCCCGCGGTTCTGAGTTGTTATTCGTAATAATCTCCAGTTTGAGATAAATACTTTCTCTTCACGCCGTTTACGAGAGATAAATGGAAAGAAGAAAGGGAGAAGGAAACCCAAAGGGGAAGCGTGTGAGAGTTACAGAGGGCGAAGGAGAGTAAGTGGAAGTGTGTTTCTTATAAGTGGACTCGGTTGCCATATACCGATTTTAATTTCAGAGTTTGCCATATGAGTAATCAGTACTAATTTTTCCTTTTAGCTTTCCACACCATGAAAGTCGAGTTGGCGATCAGTTTAACGCTGTTGTGCCGAAATATGACGAGAATCTTAGTCAGGAAGTTTGTAATTCGCCGAATGAAGATCAGGAATATGGTAATTTCGATAATTTGGTGTCATTGCAAGAAACATCCTTTCTTCCGGAAGCAGAAGGAAGTGTTAACTACCAAAAATTTCTTGACAAAGCGCGTGCGGATACATTGCGTAATGATGACTTTCTGTTGAACGCCTTTTATAACAACAAATTTGATTCCGGTAGAACATTCCGCTATTTGAAAAAGGTTATCGAGCTAGAGCGTTTTCATCCGTAGATTCCAACCATTTACTGTGATGAAGGTTTTTCTTCCGGCCACCTTCCCTACTCGTGTTCCTGTTTCTGCCATACTTGTAGATCACTGTTTTACCCCTTCCAGCTAGTTAATCAGTACCGTGCCAATCTGTATCGGTACTATTTCAAGCGTTCCTGGGGACTGAAGCAACTCGAGAAATTGAATAGTATTCGTTCGCTTTCCCATTAACGCGCAGTAAATTTGGACACTGTCAATAGCATTCTGAACGAGGGTTTGGTCGAGAACGTATCCTTGGCGTTCGATTTTCACGGGAATAGGACGAAATCTGCTACATCTGCGGAGATGGCGGCGATTTGCTTCTCTGCGACGGCGGCTGCGCGCGCGGCTATCACTTGAGCTGCCTGAATTTGACGTCCGTTCCCGAGGGAGAGACGTGGCTGTGTCCGTACTGCGCTCGGCAGAAAGAGAAAGCGAGGGCGGCTGCGGAGAAGAAGGGTGATTGCTTGGTGCGGGGATGACGCGAAGAAGTGGCGGCGCCAGGCGAAGAAGACGAAGACTTCTTGGATCCCGGGTTTTTGCCTGTGCAGAACTCGAAGAGCCATCGAGTTTCTGGCAATGCGAAAAAGGGGAATCGTGGAAAGAAGGCGGATTTGGACCCGGATGCGACGATTGGAAAGGAGCGGAAGGGAAGTACGCGACTGGTCGATCGCGTGTATTCGGAAGAGAGCTTGAAGAATACGAAGCTGTATCGATGCATCGTCGAGAATTGCAACGCGATGAGCGCGAATCGAACAGCCATGCTCTCACACGCGTAAGCGAATGAATTGAATGAATTGAATGAATGATTGAATTGAATGAATGAATTGAATGAATGAATTGAATGAATGAATTGAATGAATGAATTGAATGAATGAATTGAATGAATGAATTGAATGAATGAATGAATTGAATGAATTGATCATCTCATTGCTTGTAGTCGATCGTTTCATAAGGATGACTATGTGGAGATCGCTCGATCGATGGGTTGCAATTAGTATCCTCTTTTCTTTCTTGTGAGTCTAGTTCCATTCCCGGGGAGAACGGCATTTGGGAGTACCATTCGTTGAGTTTCAAATGTCCCGAGCGGGACTGCGACTATCGTTGCATTCGCTTCAATTCCTTCGAGCGACATATTTTAAAGTATCACAACGCGCGGTCGGTCCAAGACTACAAGCCGGACGACTTCATCGACTATGACACGATCACCTATGGAACGCAGGAGGAATGTCGAAAGCTCGCGCGAAGAAAGAAACTCACCTGGGAGCCCGGGAAGCTCAAGACGAAGAAGATGAAAGGGAAGGAGCGATACAGCGAAGATAACGAGAACGAATATGAGGAAATGGAGGAGGAAGAAGAAGGAGAAGAAGGGGAAATGGAGGAGGAAATCAAGGAGGTAGAAGAAGAGGAGGAAGAAGAAAAAGATGAAGATCATGAAAAGGAAGATGAACAGGAACAAGGAAAAGAAAAAGAAGAAGAAGAAAAAGGAAAAGAAGAAAAGGAAGAGCAGACCCAAGAACATGAAAAACAGTCAGGTAGTGATTCGTCGAATAACAGTGAACATGGAGATGAAAAAGAGGATGAGAACCACAAACCAGACACTACTGTGGAGTAATAAGCTAATAAAGCGACAATTCTGTACAGTGAGTTGTTAATTGATTTTAATGTAAGCAACAGAGCGTATATAACAGACAAATGCATACTAAGCAATTTTTATGACTTGTTTGTGGGAAAATCTGGAATCTCTGCTTGATATCTAAATTGTTATAAATATAAGCATGAGTGCTCACTGTTCGCCAACACGAATAGAGTGGTTTCGCGCAGTTAAATACTGCCTTCTTTCTTTCGGTTCAAATCTCTTTTCTTTACTGTCAAGATAGTTTTCTTCACTGGGAGACAACTGTCTGACAATCATGCATCCAAAAACATCCCCTACGGCCTTTTCTTGGAGGACTCGCCTATAGATTTATCCAAGGCAATAGGCTGATCTTCCATAGGATCTACGCTCAATAGGTTAAGAACTACACTGATTATAATAAAGGTGCATATAGTAGGAAAAAGTCCTATTTTCGGATATCAATTCACAAGTCCAAAGAAAGTCGTATTACACTAGTCTTATACAATGCCTTTCAAGAGAAGGTAGGTAGTGTGTTGTACATCTTGTGGTGGCAGTCGATGAAGGAGCAAAGGGATTTACGTAGTATAGAAATCACGGACGTTCTAAGAAAGGAAGAGGTCATGTAAAACCTGTTCGATGCACTCACTGTGGTCGTTGTGTTGGAAAAGTGAAATGTTTGATGTGTGAAGTTACCTCGTAGGATAAGGCCGTAAAACGTTTCCAGGTCCGAAATATTGTGGATGCGTCTTCGCAGAGAGATATTCGCGACGCCTCGGTTTATGAACGTGAGTTCATTGCTAGTCTTTTATTTTCTAGAATATACGCTTCCTAAGCTTTACATTAAGCAGCAGTACTGTGTGTCCTGTGCTGTACACGGTCGTATTGTGCGTGCTCGTAAGGTTGAGGACCGTCGCATTCGCGAGTACGTGCGTCCTCAGTTTAAGGGAGTAGGATTCGTGAAGATTTGTGACGACTAGGAGCGGAATTAGGCTGTTTATTGGATTAGTGAATAGGATGGTTGTGTTTCCTACAAAAACAAGCAAAACAATAAAACAAAAATGGATTGAATTGAATTGAATTGAATTGAATTGAATTGAATTGAATTGAATTGAATTGAATTGAATTGAATTGAATTGAATTGAATTGAATTGAATTAGGTAAAAAGCACATTTATGCATAAGGAGAACTCATTCGCAAGAACTCCGAGGCAGAATGTTTCCGAATCTTGAAATATGCTACAGCTCCCACAATGAGAATCACGATACAGATTACAATCACCAATAATGCAACACTTTGGATTGCAGAACCCACATCTACGCTCACAATGGAAGCGAACTCCTACTTGTAGACACACATACATTGTCTTGGCAAGCGAGACCATCGCTGCAATCAGCGAATGTGAAGCAGTGCTTCCCCTTCTCACATTTGGCAGAGCAAGACCCGCCACAGTCCACATCGCTCTCAATCTCGGTCCTCGTCCCATCGTGACATCTCCAATCGTCTGTGTCCTCCTGCAGAACGAGTCGCTGCGTCTATACATGGCGAATGCTTTCCATTCCCACCTCAAGGTAAGCAAGAACCGTGTCGGATTGCTTGAGTACCGCTTCTTTTCTAAGAATCGCAGAAAGCTCGGTGATTTTTTGGGTTCCCTCCACGCGATTGACAACGAGAGTGAACGAGACAGCAATTTGAATCGTAGAGGACTGGGCAGAATGGTGTTTTCGCTGAACATGGGAGGAGGCGCGCGAGAGGGAAGCGATCTCCGTGTAGATAAAATCCCATTTGCGGATTTGCACTTGATTCAGAGGAATCGAAATGGTAGAAGATAAGAAAACACGAAGAGCGGTTTGGATCGCATCCGACGACTCTTTCATGACGCCTTTCAATACCATGGATCCTTGAATGAATACAAAGCGGTCATCTGGCCGATCGAGGACTATTTCTCTTACACGGTCGCAGCTCACTCCAGAGAACTCGACATCGCAATAGCAAACACCCGACACACATCTTCCATGGCCACTGCAGCTCACTAGATCGATCGTTCCATTGTCCAGCAATCCAAATCCCTTCGGACAAGACACGGAAGAGCCGGATGTCCGCGAAATAATGATAGAGCTCTCACGAATCGGTGTGCCAACAATCGTTCCCGCCTCTTCTCTCCCAGATATGTAAACCACATACGTTGTGTCTGGATCCAGATCCGAGAAATCAGCGGAATATGCGTTGACTCCTTCTTCGACCATATACTGCCCATGCGTTACAATCTCGCGATAGCTAGGCTCGTTCGCCGAGGCAGTGAGGAGAAGGGCGTACAGACGAACGGGTCTGTCGCTGCCGGCTGTGATCTAGAGTCACACATCAAGAGCAAAGCAACTTGAACCTCGGTAGCGGTATGCTTTGTGATTTGGATAGGCGCAATCGATGCTCCTTTGTACATAAAACTAATCGAAGGAGAGTTTGTGAGCGCTATTCCCTCCATGGATGTAATGTATTTGGAGGCGGTCACTGTGACTTCTCCGGCAGCGTTAGCAACGAGTTGGAGTTTGTAGGTAGAGTCAGATTCCCTCTGCACCTCATGAATGTATCCATTTGTTGTCTAAAATCGACCAGAGCACTTGGAAATACCAAAAAGTGGGTGACATCTAGGTCTATTACCGCTGAGGAAAACTTGATCCGCAAAGAGACAGGCATTACCGATGCATAGTATCCCTCGTCTGCCATGAACTCGGCAGTAAACTCATTGCTATCTATCCTTCGATGTTGTATGGAAGAAATACCTTTGCCTTCGGCCATAGAGTATGACTGAGCCGGAAGTAGAGCAAATAACACAAGCACAGTGATGAAGCAGGAAGTCATAGATAAGTCTAGTAGGATTTTGATGAAAGAAGATGGTATTCGTCTGGGATTGAGGAATATCGCGATAGATGAAGATTTGGGATATGCGAAGATAATCCCTGAGGATATATTGGTTTATTTACTTTTATTTTGCCCTTTCGTGCATGTATACAGTAGACTATCAACCAATACTTCGAACAAACCCATTTCTTCCTCTTTCCCCCTCCGCACTCTCCTTTCGAACGTTGAAACAAACTAGCTCTGTTCCAGCTAGTTTGGGAAAAAACAGAAATGAATTCTATTGAGTATGTTTTAGAGAGCCGACATGAAACATTTGTAATTGACAATACAGAAGAACGATTAAGTGATCAAATCGACAATTTTAAGCAAGAGGAATCTAGAGTGTGGAATATTGGTGATTGTGATGTGCTAGACGATTGCTGAATCGCTGTCTAGATCTTTGTCGTTGATTACTGGACTAAACGTAAGTAACGATCTGATTCGAGATTTGCGAGACGGTGTGGTATTCTTCTTTTCTAGAGGTAATATATAGGTTTTGTGCCGCGTAATTGAGATCTGCAGCCCAGGGACCAAATTGGGGAAGTGGCATCCAAATTCAAGTTTTGAACTGGGGAATCGTTTACAGCTAGGTGGTATAACAGCTTTTGAAACTGAAAATTTGTATTTGTTTAGTCAAGCATGTCTTCAACTCGGAATGCATCCTAGCGGTGTAATTGATTATAATGTCTTTGAAAATAATGACGTATGGATGTATTTTGTGTGAAACGTGAGATGCATCGTTTGGTTACGTGCTTAATCCATTTGCTAAAGATTCTCTACCTTCATTTGCAAGTGAGTGAATCAAGTACAGTCTCCATACAAGCAGTTGATGGTTCGATATCCCACATATGTTGTTTTCACCTTGTTTGGCTGACTTCTAGTAGTTGAAACGGGAACATTATCTGAGAAGGATTGCGATACGATTCGCGCGTGTCGCAGTCCCTTAAGCTCTGTGAGATGGGATGATGAACCAGAGAAGGCAGGCGAAGGTTTAGAAGAGAATTCGAAAGAAACGGAGAATGGAATGAATGAGAGCAGCAATCAAATAAATGAGAATAAGAATGAAAAAGAGAATGAAAGTGAAGGTGAAAATGAAAAAGAAAATGAAGATGAAAAAGAGAATGAAGGTGTTAATTGTGTGAATGAAAGTGAAAATGTAAATTTGAATCAAAATGTGAAAGAGAATCAGAATCAAAATGATAAAGAAATTGTAAATGAAAATAAAAATGATAAAAAAATCCAAGACCAAAATCAAAATGATAAAGAAATCCAAGACCAAAATCAAAATGATAAAGAAATCCAAGACCAAAATGTGGATGAAAATCAGAAAGAACCTGCTGTTCACTCCTCGTCGATTTCATCGAGCCTTGAATCGATCGATCCCTCGCCCCCCCTCTCCACATTCGATTCATCCATTCCCTCTCCTTTTCTCCCTTCTCCCGACTCTTCCTCTCTCCCCGATTCATTCAACGCTTCCTCCCTTCCCATCGAGCAAGAAAGCGACTCGCAAAGCCAATCAGGGCCCGAAGAGTTACTCGATTTCCCGGCTCCGTCCCACGTGCTTTCGGACATTTCTTCCGACGAAGAAGACTCGACGCTGCACCTCGACGGGCAGACGATCCTCGAGTTTCTGCGGTCCGAAGAGGAGCAAATGCGGCTGGAGATCGCGCGCCTGCAGAAGGAGGACGCGGAGCGATTGCAGCGAGAGCGCGAGGAGCGAGAGCGCTGGATCGACGCGATTCGGAAAGAGAATTACGTGTTTTCGAGCGAGGAGGAGGAGGAATGGAAGGAGGAAGAGGAGGAGGCGTCGCGTCGACGCACTCTGTTCGTGGCGTCGATCGGGAAGGAGATGGAGCGAGCGCTGAACGAAATCCGGAAGAGCACGGAGGACGCGAAGCTGAGTCCGAAGCGAGTGATGCAGTTCAGCCGGACGAAATCCAAGCTGCAGCAACGGATCCGAGAGAACGACGTGCAGCAGAAGAAGGAAAACGCGGAGCGAAGGAGGAGGGAAATGGAGCAGCGGCAGCTGGCAGCGCGGAATCGCGCGATTACCGACCAAAAGCAAAGGCAGAAGCAGGAGGAACTGCGCAAGGAACGACTGGCGTTCGAGAAGAAGCTGCGAGAGGAGGATTTAGAGAGGCAGCGAAAGGAGAGGGAGCGCAGGCAGCGAGAAGAGCAGCAGCGATTGAAGCGATTGTCGATGGTTCAGAAACAGAAGGAAGAGGAGAAGAAACGAAGAGAAGAGAAGAAGAAACAGTGGCTAGAAGAGAAACGACGCCTGGAAGAGGAGGAAAAGAGAAAGGAAGAAATGGAGAAGCAGAGGAGGCGTCGCAATATGGTGCGCTTTCGCAATGATACGGTCAAGCAAAAATCGGGTTGTGTAGGAGAGGATGGATTGTGTGTTTGTAGAGTTCTCCCAATCGTCTTCGAAACAATGGATGAGTGTATAATAATAAGTGATGTGCTTGTTGTTTGCTACGAATCACACTTTCTGCTTGTGCGAAATAGAAGGGATGAACATTGTACAACTTGAATAATGACCGAAATTGGGGGTATTTTGTGAATAGTATAATAGTCTTCAATACAACGAAGGAAATGGCGTCCATTTACGTACGCACATCGAAAGGTGAAAAGCTAAATTATTCGATTGAATTGGGGTCGTCTGTGAAAGAATTAAAAGAGATGATCGCCTCCTCTCAACAGATTGAAATTGAGCAAATCACTCTTGTGTTTAAGGGTAAAATTCTGCAAGATACGGCAACTCTGGCTGCAAGTGGTAATTTGTGATGGCAAGTGTACGACTTTAGGGATTGTGGATGCTAGCGTTGTTCATATGGTTGTCATGAAAAAGCCGGCACATGAAGCTCCCAAGCCTTCAGTTCCGCCCAAGGTGGAGGCTCCTCCTAGCCAACCTGTTGAATCTGCGACGCAGACCCCTCCTGCAGCAGCACGGCCTGTGCGACCTGTAGCATTTTCATTCTGTTTTGTTGTTAGGTTTCCAGCCCTTTGAATTCGCACTCTGCATCTTCCCCTTTCCGTAGAATGGAATTGCCGAGTCAGTCGTCTCTGGAAATGATGTCTCCCTTAATGGCCTCCTTTAAGGACCACCCCGAGCTGTTTATCCAGTTTTTGAAGGCAGATCCCGGCTTCCGCAATGTTTTGGAGAAGAATCCGCGTATGGAGGAAATGCTGAACGATCCCACGACTATCGACTATCTAATCGACATGATGAGCAATCCGGACAGTATGCGGGACGCGTTGCGCCAGACCGACGAGGCTCTGAACCATGTGGGGGACATTCCTGGCGGTGAGCAGATGCTGGAGCGCGTGATGAGCGTTTTTCTTCTTCTCTGCGTTTCCCTGTAGCAATACTACGAGCCTCTCGACCGCCAGCACGACGCGAAGGGCTACGCCAAGGAGGAGCATTCCTCGCTGGGCTCGACGCCGCAAGACACGCTCCCCAATCTCTGGGGCTCGCCGTCCTCCGCCTCTTCCTCCCAGTCGGCGGGCTCGCGCCCCAACCCCTTCGCATTGCTCGGCTCGCTGGGCACTTCCCACGCCTCCAGCGCATCGAACGCGTCCAATCCTGCGAGTTCTGCCGACGCTTCGGGGGCTGCGAGTGCTGCGAGTGCTGCGAGTGCTTCGAGTGCTGCGAATTCGGCGGGTCAGAGCGGGTTTGGAGCGATGCCGCTGAGCCAATCGGCGATGGACGCGAGTCTGGACCTGCTGAGCGAAATGGTGAGCTCGAACCCCGAGCTGGTCTCCGCGGTAGGGAGTAGGAGAAGGGCGTGAGAGGCAGCTGCTGCAGCGATCGCCGGAGTACGAGCAGCTGGTGAAGAACAATCCGCTGATGGCGCAGCTGATGACGAATCCGGAAATGCTCCGGCAGAGTCTTTCTCCGCAGAATCTGCGCATGATGAGGGAGCTGGAGCGGAGCGGAGCGTTCTCTGGAATGGGAACCGGAATGGGATGGGGACAGATCCCTGGAATGGGAGCCGGAATGGGAGCCGGAATGGGAGCCGCTGTGATGAGCTCGGAGCAGATTCGGCAGAAGTACGCGAATGAGATTTCCCAGATCGAGGCGATGGGATTTACGGTAGATGACAATTTGTTACAGACGCTGAACCGATTTCAAGGAAATGTGGAAATGACTTTAAATTTCTTGCTGCAGTAGCTAGAATCTGGGGAGATTGTGTGTTTGTTTGAATTCCGAGATGTTTAAATTAGCGTTTTGATGTTCCCTGTCAAAACTGAAATAACCTCTATTTTTGGACAAATGAACAATCGTGTGCAGCTCGGAGCTAAGACGAGGATAACATGTAGGCAATGCTTCTGTGCTAGTAGAACTTTAAAATGCACGATGTTGCATTGTTTAGCCAAATCTAGTTTTTTCTTTAATAATCTAGTACACAGCGCATCATCTAAGTATGATTGCAAGCGCTCGTTTTCTCGCTATTGATGGTTATCCCCAACAACTTCGGGTGAATTTTATGAAGATGCAAGTAGGTGACGTTTTCCCGATTGGCGGCTTGATATGCGCTTCCAACGCTGTTTAAAATTGTTTTTTGCCTGCTGCAATGTGATTCTAATGCCTTTGTAGATGTCGACACTGATTTCCTACGCTAAGGCTTTTGGAATTGGGTATACGAAGAATATGTCCCAAACAGAGATTGCTGTTCTTGTTGCAAAGTAAGTCTTTCCTTTTCGAAGCTGACCTGTAGTCATTTTGTTTCGAGTAGTATCGAAGAAAATAAGGTGATCCATGATTTTTACACAAAGACAGAGAATGTAGTACACTTCTTCTTGGAGTTAAATGAAGGTTAAGCGCAATCCAACATCGAGTCTTAGCGAATCCTCATCATATTCAATACCAAAGCGCCAGTCAAAGAAACCGAAGAAAGTGGGAATAAAGTCGTGGGTTGAAGTGTAGTATGCTCAATTGGAAGAAACAGCATGTCATTACAATACCAGAAGTCGTTCTGAGAAGAAGGAACGTACTCAGCACTGTAGTTGCGGTAAAGAGGATAATGATGTGATGGTGGAGTGTGATAATCCAGACTGTAAGCACCAATGGTTTCACTATGAATGTGTCGGGATTGAAAATCCCGATGATCTCCCAAAGAAATGGTATTGTCCAGAGTGTCAGAAGTCAATGAATAATAAGTCATCGTAATGGCATTTGTGTTATAATGATAGCAATGAAAGGTTGTTATATTGTCTGTTTGTTTTCACACAGATTGATGGAGGGGATATTCTTGTGAATGGCAAGTGAGTCTGTGAGGGCGATTCTCCACTCAAAAAGATATCAAGGAGTGGACGTTAACTATCACACTACACTACGACCATCACTGTGTTTTGTTTTACTCCACAACCATCATTGGGTTTTGTTTCACTCTCATCATAGCTCGAACTTGCTACTCAGAACAAACAAGAGAGTTTGCGGTATTAAAAAGATTATAAAAGTAGCCCTTCTTCTCCATGAGCGATTCGAAGCTTCCTTCTTCAATGCATTCTCCCTTGTTCAGCACATACAACCTGTCGCACTGCATTATACTCTCGCGACGATGCGTAATCATGATGATCGTCTTGTCTCGATTCCTGTTCACATCGTGGTAAATCGTATTCGTCACCAATTTCTCATTTTCACCATCCAACGCCCTGCCTCTCAATCAAAATCACCACCATTACGATGTTGGCTCGTCTAATATGATAACTTTCGGGTTTCGCAGAAGACTTCGCGCGATCGCAAGGCGCTACACTGAACGAATGTTTACGAGATTACTTGTTTTTGGCCTCCGCTGATTCCACTGCCACGTTCTCCGATCACTCTACGTCTCATCAGCAATTCGAAACGCCACGTATCGAAACCCATCGGCATGTCTTTAATGAAAGCGTCGATGTTCATTTCCTTGACCACCTCGTTGAACTGCTCTTCGGTTGCATGCTACGCGTCACTTCCAAGCCCTTCTTTGACCTCCGATCCGTAGAGAATGTTCGATCGAATGGTTCCAGAGAACAAAACCGGCTCTTGAGGAACCTATCGATGAGCCAAAGCCCTTACCTTAACGATGCTGATCATGCTCCGCACGAAATCCCCCGCCAGGTCATTCACGTTCACGCCATCCAGCAAGATTTCGCCCTTGGAGACTTTGTACAAGCCGCCGAGAAGCGAGGAGATCGTGCTTTTGCCGGATCCCGACCCGCCAACAATTCCAATATTCTCTCCAGGATGGGCGACGATGTCTAGATGTCAGTCCCGCGTTCCCTTCGCCTACTAATATTATTCAGAACCTGATGATCGGGCTCTTGCGGATAGGAGAAGCACACATTGCGAAGAACGATTTCGCCGCGGAACTTGTCCGGATCGGTTATCGCATCGTCCGTGGTTTCGTTCCTTTTGCTGTAGAAGCGGTCGATTCCGCTCGCAGCCGTCGACGGTTCCAGCGGGCACGAAGAGAGCTCGAAGACGCGCTGCGACGCGCCCAGCGCCTACATCGGACCGCCTGTCCACACCGACTTCCATAATGCGCGCGTACACCTTCATCGTCCCGCCCACGCCCGATGAAACGCTCATCGTGTACATGGCGAACGACGCCAGAGCGCCTCCCTTAACCCAGAGGGTTACAACTCTATGTTCGAAACGCGTGAAATGAAGGAGGGCGAGCTTCAAGGAAAGCCCCACGCCGGCACCGAAGGACGCGCGGATTTTGGCTCGTTTGTTGTCGTTTTCGAAGAGCTGCTGGTTCTTCGATTTGTAGTTGAGATATTCGTTGCGCTCCTAGAACTCACACGGTGAAGCGAGACGCACCTGGTTGAACCACTTCACGGTGCGGATGTTCCCAATCTTTTCCTCCACGCAAATGCTCATTTGGGCCAAGTTGTCCTTGATGACGCGACTCAGCTTTTTCACACGTCTTCCGTTATAGTAGGTAATGACCGAAATGGGAGAGAGGAGCAGCACGATGTAGCCGGTGAGCGCTGGAGAAATGTAGAGCATGAGCTACTTCAAACAAGAAAATAAAGACATGCGCTGAGCGAACCGATCGTTTGCACCACGTTGATGATTCCCGTTCCAAAATAGTTTCCGAGCAATAGGCCGAGCTCTTGGATATCCGACCCCATTCGAGAAGTCAACTCTCCGGTGTGCGTAGTATCATAGAACAACATCTACGGTTCAATGCATGCATACACTATCGTACATCTTGATTCAGGATTACTTTAAATGTGTTGTTGCGGATCTTCCCTACACATAATTAGCCCATCTATCTAAAGAGAAAATAGTACGAATAATTGTGTGGGCCAAAAAGTCTGATATGTAATCGCTGTAGTAGTCGAGAAGAGCTGATATCCCAAAAAGTCCAGCCATTCCGACCGTTAGAATTGGGAGTTGCGACATGTCACCATTCACTGCCATATCGACTAGTTTTCCGAAAGCCATGGGAATGGTCAGGCTTATCATAGATGATGCAAATAACGATGTGATCGACTTTGCCTATGTCATCATATATACGTTCAGATAGTACTAGAAGCTTTTCGTTTCCCTTGTATAGATTAAGCAACCGTTTTGCATCTCCCTTTTTCCATTTTTCTTTCGTCTTCTCGTTAACCAAAAGATACAAAGAAATACCTGATTATGCGAATCTCTTCCATACCAGAAGGAGAAATGGCAAACCTGAACACAGCCCCCCATTCTCCCCTGTCTATATAGGGTCACACGCATATTCGCTGAAAATTAGAAATGGAGAAGATGCATTACATGACCTGAAAATTCCAGTGCAAGTTCTTCCTACACAATGGAAGGATCTGCTTAACATGTATCGACAAGAAAGATGATCGTTTTAATAAAAAAAGTGATATCTTACTTTTATCAATCTCCTTTTCTACATGTTGTATTGACCGGAGTTCTTTTTCTATTTGAAGATGGTGCAATATGTATTCTATGTATTCTATATATTCTATATTTCTTATTAATATCCAGATGGAGCCAACTGATTAATATTCCAGAATAATGGACGATATTCTCTAGTATTGAAAACCAGCTCATATTTTTGTTGTTCCCTTGCGTATTCCTTTAATTTTAAGTATTTACCATTTAAAATGATTGCTGCTGTATGAATCCCACTCTCAATATAACGTGTAGCGTATGAATCGTATGCTCTTCGCTAGTGCATTGTCATGTATCTTTTTTGATTAGCAGTAGTAACATGTAGCTGCGAAGATGCTGCCTCAGTTGAGATGCTTTGCCTCGGGTAGTTTTTCTCCACTCTTTTTGATAATACATTAGCTGCCGACAAGCTCATTTACATCAAGGACGATGCCACTTATCATGAGCTTCGAAAGGGCGACAAACCTTGCATTATGAACTTTTCTGCTTCGTGGTGCCGCCCTTGTAAGATGATGGCTCCTATGTTCGCGCAATTGAGGTACATAGTTTACTTGTGTTTTGAGGTAGTGCCACCAATGATCATGTCAACTTTGTCAAGATTGACGTAGATGCGAGCCCGAAGTTATCTAACGAGGAGAAAATCACTGTATGGTCAATGTGTTCTTTTGAGAGGTAGAGCGTGCCTACTTACAAGCTGTACAAGGCAGACAAGCTGATTTCTCAGGTAATTTTAGGGAGTACTCTTAATGTTCTAGTTCGCTGGTGCTGATGTGAACCAGCTTCAAATCATGATCGGTCAGGCAAAGTCAGCTTAATTCGTAACTAGATTTTGTTGTATTGTTTGTTATTATAAAGAAATCGCAAAATCGAAGTCAATGGAATGAAACTCCCTTGAAGATGAATCTTCAAAATATAAATTCTCGTCACTAAGCTCCGTAGAGTGTATTTTCTGAAGTTATATTGTTTCTAAAGCAACTTTGTGCAGTGTTCTGCAACGTTAACGATTCTCATTGCCTAAATGAGTTCAACGAGATTATCAAGTGACTTAACGAAATTCGAGGATGTTCGTCTGATTTTGGGCGATCTACATCGAGAAACTCCAAGTCAAGGTACTTCTTTTCCTCCAATGTTATTATTATTATTATAGATGATGGAGACAATCCAAGGGAAACAGCAGAAAGAAATGTTAGAAGGTATAACACTGCTTTTATCTTTAGACAAATGATCGCAAACGACGAATCGATAGCTCAAGGCAAATGTTTCAGGTGAGAGAGAGTCAAGTAGTCTATTGGTTAGAAGAAAAAGCGGTTTCGATGGGATGATCAATTGCACTATCAATTTCTGGAGTTCATTTTTAAGTATGGAGTGGAAAGTTGCACTTCAATCTATTTTTAATTTCAGACATTTCTTCTCAAAAAGTCTACGACGTGCTTCACACGATTATCGACGACGTAAGCTTCGAGTTTGTGGACAATTATATGCGCGTACGCTGTTTCCTATCGTTTGCTGAATTCTTTTAGTCATTACGCGCCAATATGACGCAAACTCTCCAAGACTTTCGGGAATCTTATGAGCAAGCTGTTCGATACCAGGGGAGTTCTTCATTTGTTTCTTTTGGCTCCGTTCTCTATAATTTAGGAAGTCCCGTCTAGTACTTTTAGTGTTTATCCTTTTCTTTTTGTTCGTTCGACGAACCAGTCTGTATCTTTGCTATCTGGGCATAAGGTGGATAGAAAGCAATTTTACCTGCTTCCGCTCCTTCCAATGTTGCAGACCCCTCGGCTCTTTCAGGCACTTCGAGTTTCTCAGGTCCGCCCACGCTTTCAGCGCCTTCGGTTCCACCCTTCACTCCTCTGCCAACGTATCCAGGGTATCGAATTCAACCAATGAACCCTTCTTCTTCTTCTTCTTCTTCTTCTCCTCCTTCTGTTCCAATGCCGCTTTATCCGGTCATGGCACCTTATCGAATGATCGATGAGAATGAAGAAGGGTCGCTGCCTTTCGATGAGATTTTAAACGATACCGATGCTCAAATGAAATCTCAATTCCAGCTGCAGCAAGATATGCTGCTTCAGAATGATTTTATGCACTGGAGAACGATGCCAGAGGAAACGAGGGAAAGTATGCAAGACTATGGTCGGATCAGTGGAGGGAATGTTGCTTTGGAAAAGAAAATGGAGGATCCTGCGAATCTGGACAACAAAGGCAAGGATCATGATAAGCAATCTGCTATGAAGAAGGATTCATTGTCTTTGTTTGGGCAAGAGCAAGAGCAAGAGCAAGAGCACGAACACGAACACATACAAGAGCAAGAAGAGGGAGAAGGAATTGCTTCCCATTCGCCATTTATGTTCACCTCTGCTGTAATTGTCGTTTGCCTTTGTCATTATTTAGAATTTCCTGGGCGATATTGATGCAGCCCTCGGAAGTTTAGCTTCTGTTGAAGGTCCCAAACCGGAGAACTTGCTGGATCATGACGATATTTTTGATTTCTTGGTATAGTGTATGATCCAGTATAGCTATCTGATTTTATTCCAATTGAATACAGTAGTCCAACTCAAATCCCTTCCCTTCCTTCCTTTCCTTTCCTTTCCTTCCTTTATCTTCCATTCCTTTCCTTTTCTTTCCTTACCTTCCCTTCCATTTCACTTCTATTATTATGCTAGTTTTACAATATAAATTCGAATCATGTTTTTATTAAACAAACACTTTACGAAAAGAGAATATCATCAGAAACGAAACAAGAAGAAGAAGATGATGTAGACGAAGCTGAAGCTGAAGCTGAAAAAGAAGAAGAAGAAGAAGAAGAAGAGGGAGGGAAGGAGGAGAGGGAGGGAGAAGGATAGCAAAACGAGTTGGCAGACACTGGCAGTTCCAAAAAACTATAAATAGTTTATGAAAAAAGCGAATATCCATACTTTAGAAGATCAGGAAGAAAAGCTGATCCCTCAAGATCAAGTAAACGATTCATATATTGTTGCATTTCTTCTGCAAACATGATGCCATCTACTAAAGTGCCAGCGGAGGTACTTAATTTCAATTTAGGAAGATCAGGATATCGATTCGAGTAGTGAGAAAAACGATAAAGACTGCTCACCTACAAATATGATAAAATCAAATGAAATAAAAACGTTTCGATCCAACATTCGAATATCGTTAATCGACTTGATGAGGATATGCAGACACCACTTAAATTCTGTAATGTGAAACTCGTAATTCTACACGTGGTCCAGTGGAATAACAACCACTTGCGACTCAACATCGTAACGGCCCGGTATGAGGTGATTAAAGTAGAGGCTAAGT